ACAAAAAAGTTATCGAAACATAACAATATGGGATCTAGTTTCGAAGGTCTCATCACGGCGAATTTCTTTTATGTCAAAGTGGTTTTTCAATCCGATCATCGGTTTGAGCTACAGAACATTTAAAAGTTTCAAAACAAAAGATAATCTTTTGCTGACATCATCACTTTTTTATATTACTTTGCATGCATATGGCAAGGCCGTGCATGCTCTTCTCTTGCTTTTTGCTTACTAAGCGGGCTGCACGCACGTGATTAGTTAGGCTAGGGTGTGTTCGGATATGTCGCTTAAATTGAGAATGTTCGGAAGATATCACTGTCCATCTATATATACACTTTGGTCCTTAATTTTAGAGCTATCACAACCAATTAGGCTCTCCAATTTAAAATCAGATCACCCAATTTTGATCGGCTCAACATTGTTTTTTTCTCAAGGAGCTCTGTCATTCAATCCTTTAAATCCACTATAGTCCCTAATTTGGAGCTCCCCTATTCGACCAAGGTATTCAATTTTGAATTTGGTTCAAAATTTTGATTGAGTCAACAATTTTTAAAATCAATCGACATCCACAATACTAAATAAATAAAATATAGAAATTCATTTCATGATGAATCTAATGGTACCGATTTGGTATTATGGATATTGAAATATTTCTCTAAAAGTTTAGTCAAGCTTAAAGAGGATTGGCTTCTCAAAAAACCAACACACCTCATATTTTAAAGGGAAACGGTTCGGTTCGGTGCACCGGCCGAAACTGGGCCGGTCCCTCCTCATCGCACAACACGCGCACACACACGTGGACCCACGTGGTCGCTTAACCACCGCTCGTCACAGAAACCTTATCCTCACCCCCATGCGAATATCTATCCAGTTTCTTCCTTGGCCGCTCTTCTCTCTGTCTCTCAATCCCCACAAGCCCAACGCCGGTGACTGTGCTTGAGGTGCTCCGAAGCCGACGCGAGTGAGGAGCTGCGTCCATGAAGCGCCACCATGATGATATGCGCCCGCGGCCACGGCGAGTTGCGCCCATCGAGCGAGGTCGTGGAGCGGTCGGCCTGCGGCGAAGGCTGTTTGTGTCCTCGGCCCGACGACGATGTGCAAAGGGGATGCCCTGGGACCCGATGCTGGAACCGGCATGGGGATTTGCTTCAACCAGCGCCGGGATTTGCTTCAATGGCGAGGATGGTGGTGGACGGCGACAACGGTGGCCGTCGTGGTAAGTTGTTCTTTTTTTAATTTTTGCTGGAACTACTTTCAAATTTTGCTGGAACCATTTTCTCGATTTGGTGCAACAGGAGGGGACAATGTCGGGCGACCACGGCCGCGGGTGCCATGATTTTTTGCTACACAGATTTTTTTTGCTGGAACCATATCAATGTATTTCGCTGGAATCATAGTATTTTTGCTGCAACCACATTATTGTTTTGCCGGAACCATATTAATTATTTGCTGGAACCATGTGTTTTGCTTTCAAGCTGGTGTTGCTTTGTTTTTTCTGCTGCATCCGACGAGCGGCGATGCCGACGGCGAGCGACGAGCGTTGGGGAACCAGCGGAGCTTCCAGGTCGTGCGGGCATGGAGGTCGCGCAGGCATGAATCGATGGCACTTTTTGTGTTTGTTTCCTTGTGCCTGTGCGAAAGGACGGTAAAGGGGAAGGAAGAGGAGGCGAGATCTGACGATTCGGTACTTTCAAATCGGATGGCTAGCAGCGGACCGGCCGAAATTTTAGGCCGGTGCGCTGGCGCCTATCGTTGCCCTGTTTTAAAACAGATGAAGTAGAAAAATTATGGAAATCCCACAGCACCAATGACGCAGTGTAGCGTGCCTAACCCTTCTAAATTGCCAATGGACTTGCCTCTCCCAACAAAGCTTAACAACGTTCAGCTCTCGTTCAGTTTTCCTGGCTCTGCCACCGCTAACAAGAGCTTACAGAAAATGATTAATTGTACTTTCAGGCAAAATTGTCAATTTTGAACGGGTAAAAGAATCCAGCGCGTAGCAGATTCGGTGAAAACCAGTGAACGAAGAGTCCAACCCCAAGGTGCGCCGTGTTCAAAGCTTGAAACTGAAACACGGTACGACGACTCGGCCAGTCCAACATCCTGACGAGACCCTATATCATCCACAGCCGGCCCCCAAAAAGATATTCTGCCGTCCGGCTGCACCGCCCTCCCTCCCTCCATCCATCCATGATTCGCGCGGTTGACCGGCCCTGGAGACCGGAGTCCGGAGAGCGAGTTGGACGAGCCTGATCGACCGGGACCTAGACCCAACCCGCCCTTCCTACGGAGCTTCGCTTGGCTTCGAACGCACACGTCGCGTCCAGCACGAGCTCTAATCTCCCCACATGGAACGGATATAAGTACTCTGTCAGTTTCAGGGCCATCAACACCACCACTGAGATACCCACCCCCAGCAGCTACTTCCAGGATAGTGCTGCTTCCCACTACCAGTAGCTCCCAGCTAGAGTAGTTCGAAGAAGCACCCGGCGCCGAGTCGGCCACCTCACTACTCGCCACAAGGGAAGAATGTGCTTGGAGTTCGGCTCGTGCTTCGGCGGCCGCAGGCGGGACGACTACGGCCGCAGCAGAGGGAACCACGGCCACGGCTACTGGTCGGAGCCGGCGCCGGAGTACCGGCAGCCGCCCATCGTCGCCAACCACGAGGCCGGACACAAGGCCTACCACGACAGCACCGACCACGCCCACGCCGGCAGCCACGCCGCCTACTTGCAAGACCAGGCTGGCGGCGAGACGCCGGCGAGGCATCCCGCGTGGCACAACAAGGTCGGCGACGACACCGGCAACGGCACCTACACGCCGACCCACCACGAGGCTGCGGCTGATCACAGGGACAACAACCATCGTCAGGTACTAGCTAGTCGTTAGGATTAGCTAGCATGGCACTTCATCCCATCAAATCCCTCCCTCTCCCTAAACACTACCGCCTACGTCTTGTATTCAGTAGCTCTGTCTTTTTTCCTCTTCTTGTTCTGTTTGGGTTTTGGTCAGTCGTCTTCCTATCTGCCGTAACGGAAAGGCACCTCGAGCATAGAGTGTGTCTGAGACTGAGAGGAACCGGAGGCTTTGGATTTTGACAGAGAGCTTCCATGTTTGTACAGCAGAGAGAAGAACCAGCAGCTCCAGAAAGCTTTTGTTGGCAGATGGTTTTACCTTTACCAGTCAGTTTGTGTAGTTTCTTGTAATTTAGCTCAAGCTGCTATCGCCTTGTATCATATACGTATAATCAAGTGAAAGAAAGCATTGCCAAATCTCAGATGCCTCTGTTTTCGCTGTGTGGTGTTTCCCCCTTTCACCTCCCTCACAAACATTTTGAATCACTGAGCAGCAGGAAAGATGTTTATTGCTTGTTGGCAGATCATCATCTACTGCTCGGAACAGAGCTCAGCGAAATCTTGCACCGAATCAGCATATTTGCTAAATACAACTCTACTGCTAAAACCATACACAGAGTATTGTGTAACTACCAACAGTTTTCCAAATAGAAGGACTGTTCACCCATTAGATTTCGTCACTGGTGTGACATAATCAGTAACAAACATCCTATGTCACGGAATGCGCGAGAAAGTCGCCCATATGTATCTATTGGAAGTTGGACAACAAGGCGAGGTAAAAGCAGATACCCCATGGACAAAGTTTCTGCCAGCAAAATATTAGAGAATAAAGTGACAGATATAGGTTTGCAACTCACTCTGTTTTTCTAGATAATGAACAACTCACTCTATCTTGGAAGTTTTCAAAGAAACAAAAAAGAATGCTCTTGAAACAAAAAGGACCCTACCTTGCACTTCACTTCCTTTTCAGTTCGCTTTCGTAACTCTAAAGTGTTAAGAGCTGCAGTTCTAGTTCTCAGAAAACGAAAGTGCAGATCTGCCCATGAATCATATTTTCGATACCATTTTCAGTTTTGTATGCATATACCTGTGCTGGTCCAGTAGCACACCCTGAAAGTTAATCGACTTTCTTCCAACTTATTCCTTCAGCCTCTTGCCCCGTGCTGAAGAGGAACCAGAGCATATAGAAAGTTACCTAGATAGTAAGAACTTACCTTACTTATGGCGACCGCATAAGATTAAACAAGGGACACTTCCTTTCCTTCCGTGGTCTGCGCTCTTGAAAGAAAAGAAGAAAAAAAAGCGAAAGTGGAAGAATCCGCTCGCAATCTAGTTGTTTTCACTGCGCTTAAAGTGCCAATCATGCCACCTGAAATGGCATTATTGGTTTCCGGCTAAACACACGCATTGGGATGCTCAGTGCACTTCTACCGAAGAAGCGAATACCGCTTTGTTGAAACCTATAAAATACAGACACCGAAGCTCGTAGCTTTTTCCAGTGTGCGTGCGACAGAAGCATATTTAACAACACTAAGGAATGCTTTCCAGCAAGATTAACATAACACAGAATCACAGAGCCTGCAGTGGTTGCCCTCATGGTGTAAAGCAGAGATTTCAGGGATCTGCTGCCTTTTGCCTCTAGCTCAACAACTAAGATGATTGATCCGTGTCGATCTCTTCTTCCCAGCTTGGAATAAGACCAAGGACGGGGAATAAATACAGTCGGTCAGTATACGTTTGCACTTTTATGTATGAACTGATAGATACAGAGCCACTGGACCACTAGCTACCCCGGGCGGTGCAACCTGATAGAGAATGTTCAATGCCTCTAGATATGCTTGTCATTATCGCCGCTCAGTTGTGCATGTTTAACAGCGGAATAAGTTCGTACTCAGTACTTCCACCGGCCACTCACATGGTCTACGATGTTAACACATGATTTAGATACAACAGGTGGCCCTAGAACAACTAGGTCAGAATATACTGAGCGAGTGATCTTTGTACACAAGATGAACAGGCATAAACCTGAGGTGGAGATAGCACATATCTAGTTCTAAACACCTAATACTTGCTAAGTGCACACATAAAGAAGTTTTTAAGGCATGCTTACTGTACAAGGTACGCTAGTCGGTTCCACAGAGGGGTGAGTTACACACTTCCAGATTCCAAATCATTTCTTGATCTCCCGTTATGGTGTTGGCCGGTCAATCCGATATGATGCTGACCTGCAGACTGTTGGTTTTGTGCATTATTTGAATTGCCTGCCTCAAGCTCCTCCAGCATGTGGAAGGATGCATAGGGCCCCCAACCTTGTAGGGGAAAAAAGATGAGACTGTCAGATCAAACAGAAAAATTCACAATATTGAACGATAAATTGATAATACCTAGACAAGAAACTGAACTAATAGCAGAAAATATTTTCATTATTTTTGTGGAGATTGAACAACCTTGATGGTGATATGGAGGAGGGAAAAAGTGCAGATAGCACAGCACTGCCATGATATATCCTGAAATACATCGATTAAACATGGTTACTGAAGGCCACAGGATGCCATGCATTTGTGAAGAGAGCGGGGAAGAAGTACAAACCAATCAGGCCGCCGACAAACACATCCTCCCAGTGGTGTCGATAGTTGTCTATTCTAGAAATCCCAACAAGCGAAGCAAGAAGAAGAGGAAGAATCACGATGCAAAGTTTTGCCACGTGACCTTTGCGATCAAACGCCTTAATTTTGCCAGATAAGTATAGTGACAAAAATCCAAGTCCAGCAAAAGACCCTGCAATGCAAATTCTGTTAAATACTGACTGTGCACGCAGAATGACTGTAGTACAACTCTATTTTGGAGGAAACAATGGAAGTGATATGATTATTCACAGTATCAACTTGAGAATCGAGATAACTACCTAACACAAAGCATGGGTATCCAGACTATCAAGTCAAGTCCAAGTTTATAGCACTATAAAGGAGATAAGCTACAATAGGTATGCAGCAATTGTTGACAATCTACCTCAGAGAGCTCTATCCATCAACATCGCATCTAGTGTAGACATGCATGTAACGGTACAAACTTACACGACGTGTGTCCACTAGGAAAACTCTTGCGCCCATCGGTTAAGAAACCTTTCTCGCCATGGCAGATCACACCACCTGTCACTTGATCATATACCTGAGATAAACATGCCAGGAAAGTGCCGTGTTAATTTTACCTAGCAATGAAACATGCCAACGCTTTAAAGTATGGAACTATACGGACATACAAAAGTCAGAAAATGCATACCGGCCTTCCATCAGGAAAGCACCGCCAAAAGAAGTCTGGCCTAGGTCTCCCCACAGCATTCTTTATCACATCAGTGAAAGCGGCAGTGATCAGCACAGCAAAAATAACACCTGCATTTTCCATACACGAACAGGGTCATGCGAAACTTCGCAATTACAGAATAAGTGCACAGAACAACACAACCATCAGATGGAGACACAAACAGAATCAATCACCTAGTGTTGCGTGGTGAAGATCATAGACGTCTCTTCTAGCAACATACAGTGCTATGAAGACAAGCACAGGGCACAGCATAGAGATTACCTGTTGAAAGGTCCAGCACCCAGTGAGTATCAGAGAAGGATGAGTATAAGCTTTCGTCAGGGTATGAAACTGGAGAGGTTCAGAAACATACAGGAACAGCCCATGCTGGCACAGTACTTGGTTTCACCGGGTACCTAATATCAGTCATCATATCCTTCCCGACGAACCGGTTAAACGGGGGAGCATAATGCAAGACGACCACGACCGCGGCTAGGAGAATAAGAACGACCCAGTCGTATGTGTGCTTTCTGGCCAGTCCATATCCGTGCGTCTGAACCGTGTGCTGAACCTGCTGCATCCTAGCCGGCTGGCCAGAAACCGGTGCGCCAAGACCCTCGGTGGTCTGTGCGCAGTTCTGCTATAAGAAAATATAAATGGTGAATATCAGCAGGCAGCAGCTCAATTGAAGCAAACTGCACCATGGCATAAATTCGACTGAAGAAGTTGGCTGCATCGTCGAATGGGTTATCTGAATATGCTAGGCCTACTAGTGTTGTTCTGATTCTTAAGAGATCATCATATCCTGAAGAAACATGTTTGTGGAGTAGTTACAGTAGCATACAAAAGTCTACACATCTGCTCCCTCTGTCCGAAAAAACTTGTCCCAAGCTTGTCTCTCAAATGGATGTATCTAGCACTAATTTGGCCCTAGATACATCTATTTGAGGGACAATCTTTTTCAAACGGAGGGAGTAGGTCGCAATGCAGCAGTAATAACAGTCTAATATGAGCCGTACTCCAGACAGAATAGCTGGCTTTCTGACAATAGAAAAAACTCATCAATCTTACAACGCGCAATTACGACTTACTGAACTCATAGAGCACGCCCGGATCCACAGCCGGGCAATCTTTGCAGAGCAATACTAGAGCAGAGATCCAATGCAGAGCTGTATCATGCAGGCAATGCATTGCAGAGTTGTGTGACGAGTACGTATATAAGAGCATAGATCGAACTTGGTCTCACCGTATTGCGCCCACCACGCATCGAAGACGCGGAATGGAATTACGCCGGAGGCAGGCTGGAGATGCTGGGAAAGTCACCCTGAACCAACGAAGCAAGCACGCGTCAATTCAAGCACCAGCGGTATTTCAAGTGCATTTCCGTTCGCATCATCAAGCACCGGAACTGAATCTAGACTGGAAAGTGCGAAAGGGACGCTGTCGATT